AGTGAAATTTGTATTCAAACACAATGACAGCTGCAGGGAAGAGAAGAAGCCACAGCTCTGGATTAACAGATGTTTTATAGGGGGGAGAAAGACAATGTCTCCAGGGAAGGCATGCAGACAACTTCATGCCTCAACAAGGGACTGGAGGTCTGCTGTTATAGCCTTACTGTGCAAGGGTGCTTTTTGAGTTCAATGAGGTTCTGAGTTCTGGCCAGTGTTCTACCTGGGTTAGGTAGGGACAGCAGGGAGCCTGCAGAATTATTATGCTGAATCATAAGCAGGGGTACTGAGATCACCAGATTCCAAAACTAAAGGGTCTGGAATGAACTGGTGCTATAGCAGTGCACATATGTGAATAAGGTATAAAAGGTTGGGAGGCACACTTAATACTATTTCAAACAATACTTCAAACTTGTGAGCAAGAAAGAGTCTTCTAGCACATACACCACTTTTATACTTCAAGTAGTCTAGTGACAAATAAGAGTCTAAGATTGTATTCTCAGGGATGTGAGTGTGACTCCTATCTCAGCTACCTCTGTTTTGCACATCTGACTACATTCTCCACTTGGCAAAAAAAGTGCCACCAAAAAAAAAAGTGAAGGAGTAAGGAAGGAGGGGGAAGAGGGAACTACAGTAACCCACCCCAGAGGGGAAGGATAATGGCTGTTTTTTTAAGTCCAGAAATAAAAAGAAATAAAGAAATAAAGCTGCCCCGATCCCCCTCAGAAGGGGGATCGAGGCAGCAAACACAAAAGTTGAAGATTATTCATTAGAATATTTGTATTGCATTCAACAGAACCATGTCTTCCTGAAGGTTTCAGACTTGTACCTGGGTGCAGCTGTTAATTCTTTCATATGCATAATGTCTTTTACTCTAGAAAACCAATGAGCAAGTGTACATGGGGAGTTCAGTTTCATTGTACTTGGAAGTAGTGATAAGTACAATGAAACTGAACTAGTAATGTGTGTGAGATGAAGTAAGCTATGGGGTTATTGATAAGATTAATGTCACTTAATTGTGTCATGAGTTGGGTGAGTTATGACCACAACTGATTCGGCTTGGGGCAGCCCCAAAAAATATACATTTCCAACAACTCTTAGCAGGGACTGGGTGGATATGAGACAACATGTTCGGGGTTCTGTACCATCTTGTTATAAGTTTGTAGTTTGTTTCCCAGTATTTGTTACATATGGAGTCACACAGTGAGAGGTGAATAATATGGTCCATTTATTCCTGAAATAAGGAGGTATGAAAGTGCCTTTCCCATTTCAATGGGAAAGCTTCCATTAGTTGACGCTCTGCCAAGCTTATCTGATGTGAGGTTGACAGGGTCCCCTTAAGATCTCCTCAAAGGGGGTAAAGGGATATGTAAATGCTTTGCAGCCACGCTAAGACGTTGGACAGTGAGTGAGTTGGTTGCACCTCCAAAAGCCCATGTAGGGAATTTTAGGTTTCGCTTGTAGTACGTCAGCATAGAGCTAGCCTGATGTGGCTCTGTCAGGTTTTTATTGCTGCCTGTATCCCTGTTACAGAAATTAATCCTAATTTTCTTTCCTTTGTCAGTATGACAGAAGGTTGTCACCAACATGGGAGTCAAGATAAAATCTCCCTCAGAGGGCAACTGTTTTGGTGATACCTCCCAATGGTGTGCTCTTCCTTCCCTTTGGGAAAGATGTCTTCCTATTTTGTGTTGTGTATCTGAAACAGAAAGTAATTGAAAATCATTGTAATGGGTACACAATAGATCCTTGATCGAGGTTCTAACTCTTCTCTGAAACAAAAGCGAAAAAAAAAGTTTTAGCTATAGCTTCCCTTTAAATTGAATGTTGTATCATACAGGTAGTTTCATAAATATGCAAATTGTGTCCCTGCATATGATTCTTCACTATGTGCATGGTTTTGCTCTGCCAATGTCTAAAACAAGTTTTTTACTTTAAGAAATGTTTGTGTGAAAATCAGCTCTATTGTGTTTGTTACAGGACTTTGTTTAGAACAATGGAGACTATCCCATGTTAGTGTACAGGTGCCAGATTGTGGGTTGGCACGCCACTTTTCTACAATGCCATTGCTAATTTAGGGAGCGTCTGGAAAGCAGGTAGAAGCAGACTGAACACGAGGAAAGATTACACATGCCCTTATATCCATATTGCACATAGACAATATGAAAATAAAGATTCTTTCCATGTGCATGTAGTCGTACAGCATTGGTCTTGACACTTTTGATCTCACTAATATCCTGCCTGTTTGTTCTAGATCAGGACTTTTTAGGTGAACGGTAGCTTTTTAGATCCTTAAATATATTAAATGGTGCCAGCCAAGCTAAGCACTGGAAAATTCTGATCCACCTCATTAATGCTGTTGAAAACACCATCTGGTTTTGTTGTCTTAAGAAAATAATTACAAGTAATGAGCAAAATGAGAAATAACTGGAAAATAACAAGTTTTATTGGTGAAATCGACATGAAAGAAGGAAAATCTTAATTCTTTATTTAATTTTAGATACCAGTAAATATGATCAGCATATTACAGATACAATGATCAACTTGTTTTAATGGTTTAAAACCTCTCTTTTGTTATTCTTGGTATACATGCATGAGAGTACTTATTACTCATGACTTAATTACATATGCAAGCTGCGCTTCCTGTTTAGTAGTAGAGTACAATGATCATTCCTCCCTTCTACTGTCTAAATACTAGTTTATGGATAGCTCTGCCAGCAGAATGTCAACCTAAGTAGATGTGTCAGTGTAAAATTCCTCCACACACAGCCAGGAATGCTGGACACTCCATCATGCATGTATATATGTTCTTTACATGGTTTTATTTCAGGCATGCCTTTCATTCACAGTTTTAGTATGAGCTTCTATTGACACTAATTACCCTACAAAATTGATACAGAATGACTAACCCATAGTACCCCATGTATGTGATTTTTAACATATTAATGTGATAGATTTATTTGAGTGACTCAGTGGCATTTCAACTTTAAAGTGTAGTCAAAACTTTTGTTTAGTTTTTGGATAGAGTGGTGACAGGGCTGAAACCCCTGTTATCTTTTGTATCTTTTCTGTGTCCCCACTTGGTAAGTTCACGCTCTCTTTTTATACTGGTAACCACTGTCTTCAGAAACATTGGAAAAAACAAACGTTTGAGTTGTTACCAAAAGGGGGGGGAATCTTTTAATGGGTACACTTATTCTGGTATCAGCTGTCTAAGAGGGGACCTGCCTGGTACTTCCTGTTGTGTGTTCAGGACAAGACATAAAGGGAAATTTCTGTAATGGGACCAAGAGGGCCAAAAATCTGACAGCGGGTTTAAAGTGATATTAAACCCTCATTTTTTATGGAGGAAGTTCAGCTGGTTTTGAAGAAAGTAATAGAAGCTACAAGTACCGTACTGTAGCTGCTGACTTAAAGAAAAAAAAAAAAACTGGATAAGAAGTCCAGTGCTGTCTCCTGAGGACCTGAAGTCATCACAGTTCATTAGTGTCCCATACATAAGCGTGCACAGCCTATTGCTTTAGGGTGTGCACACAAAAGTACAAACACACACACACACATATATATTTATACTGCGTACACAGACCTAAGGCATCACAGATTCCCATTTCTTCAACTGTCCTTTATCTCTTCCACCAGGGGGGCAGTAATGAAGCAGGGAGCCTGGCAGGTGGTCATGTGACCATGCACCCGGCATCCTGATTGGATAGGATGCCACAGCCGCGCTCCCTACTAGCTCTCCAGGCACCAAGGACTGCGGCTGTTATGTGAGCAATGTAAGTGGCAAGTGCTGCTGCACTCTTTATTGCTGAGACAGTCACAGAGAGACCTTTGTGATCTCTCTGACAGCTCAGTGACTAAAAACACGGCGCCCACTGTTGGGGTTTCGGTGTTGCACTCGGGGTGATTAGGGTGTGCCCATGCAAACCCGGCACGCCTCCTGCCCACACCTATGGTCCCATTTTGGCAGCATGGATTCGGGAGCCAACTGGGACTTCCTGATCACCCACAGCCAGCCCCCTACTGCACCTTCCCAGTTCAAAGGACACAGAGAGGCTGGCCCTGTAGCTTCCTTGGATGTGTAACGTACATCCCACTAGCTAAAGCCAGGTGTACACTCACACTTCTGTACACCTGCGCATGGATGTACTTCCCTAGTCGCAGTCCAGCGTCCAGTAATCCTGCATCCAAAGTAGAATGTCTGTGTGCATGCGCAGGTGTACAGAAGTACCAGTGTATACCCACCTACAGACGTGTACAGTTATTGACTTATACAAGAAGCTGTATGCAGCATCTGTGGCTCCTTGGTGGGGGAAATAGGGCCGAATTTACATTGTGCTGGTTTAGGTGCACAAGTGCATGAGCCCAAAGTAATTCAGAATAAACTGTTTAGGGTAAATGTTTGTTTATAATTTATTGATATATTAATTTTAGGCATTCTTTAATTTTACAAGCTTTACCAATTAAATTCATTTAGTTTGGCATCAAAAAGGAGCGTAGGTTTTGTCTGCCACAAAATAAACAGTATTTAATAAACTACCAGCAGTGGCAGCAAAAAGCTTCTATGTTTCAGCATACCAGCGAGGTTTTTTCTTTTCTAGTTTAAGCTTTCTGGGCAGCAGTTATTAAATAAGATATCCTCAGCGCGGTGATTTTATTACATTAGACACTGTACTGAAAAGTAGCAGAATGTTAACAGACAGATGGATGTCCTTACAGCAGGAAGCAAAGTACATTTGCAGACCTGCATAACCCACCATGTGTCAGAAAGTTGTGCTCGGATATTTTTAATGGATTAATTCACTTTAATGGTACAAGAGCTGCAGCTATCCACCGATGGTGACAATCACTGAAGTACTGCCAGGGACTGTGGGTGAGCTCTCTGACATACCAGCCTCCTTACTCAGCAATGTTTGGCCTTTGTGGCATTTACACGATCACTTAGTAGAACTAGACTTTTCAGTCTCTGATCTCATCTAACAGTGTCTTTTCCTCCACAGTGTACGGTCCGGTTCCTCACACCCTCTCTGAGGAATGGATAGCCATGCAAACAAAGAGAATGATCGACATGAGAGTCTGTCCCATTACTGGATTCGCTACCAACTGGGATTATGAAAAGAATGAATGGAAGAAATAAGCTGTTTACCACCATGAAGCACTGTTTATATGTTACAATAAATTGCATATACTTTACACAGAATACAAATGTGTTTGTCTTCATTAAAGGCTTAGTTCCTCACATCCCTGTTACTGAATGTACGGGAGGGACAATCTGCAGGCACCGTAGCCTTGCACCAGTGATCCATCAATCGCGGTTACAATGCTTTACTGGTTCCAATTAAAAAAAGTAAAATAATAAATGCTCTTTTTTAATCTTTTATGAAGAAGTGTTCATGGGTTATTCACAAAAGGGTGAAGAGTTTGTAGAAGACAGGAGAAGTGAACAATCTAGGACAACATAATTGATTTGGAAAAATTCTCCAATTCAGCTCACTTTCCAGTTCAGTTATGTTGTCCTAGATTGTTTACTTCTCCTGTCTTCTCCAAACTCTTCACCCTTTTGTGAATAACCTTGTTAATATTTTTTTGAAAAAGTGCAATTTCCTTTTAAAGTAGTACTAAAGGTTGGACGTTTTTTTACCTAAATGTGTTCTCTGCATTAAGGTAAAAAATGCTCAGTACTTTTCTAGGCTCCCCTGCCCCCCCCCCCCCTTACCTGTGGTCACTTATCACCACTGCGAGGTCCCTGAAGATATCCTCCGTTCCAAACATCCTGGTTAGAGGGGAAGGGTACTGAGGGCAGACAAGCAATTGACTCCTTCTGCCTTCAATCTGTTGGGAGGAGAGGCACTTGCTGCACAGTGCGTGTGTCTATGGATGCAAACAGCTACTTGCGACCGGGAGTAAGCACACAGCATCAGCCAGCTAGCTGATGAAGACACCCGCAACAGGCAGGGAGGGGAGAGTGGTTCCGGGATCAGCTAAAGAACGAGGAAAGAAATAGCTTTAAAAAAGAAGGGTAGCATTTTCATGAAAGTACAGTATGACCTTTCTAACCATAAAAAGAAAAAAAAAAGACGGTTTAATATCACAACTACACAGTAACTAAGGCCATACAAGTTACAGTCTGATTGTGCAATGTCCTTTAGCTCTACCAACATCTATGTAATGCAAGAGCCTGCCGGATTAGATACAAATTGAATGAACTGTGAAGGTAGAAGCTTGCATTTCATAGTTTTAAATATAAAGGAGATTATACAATCAGAATGTAAAGTGCAGGGCCATAATTATATGTGATGGGTCCCATAGCAAAACTGTCTCCAAAACTAATCTCCATTTTTAATTAAATTTCTTAAAGTGTTGTAAATTATTTGCACATTTGTATAGCAGATATATATATAT